AAAAAAAAAAAAAGTATATACCTATAGAAATCCAGAAACCTAAAGGCAGAAATACAACAGAGTACATAACAGCACTGTAGAGGTGTACTATAAAAACAGTAAGCCACAAATATATAATGTTCTATTTCTAAACAATAAAAAGGCAACACGTAATGATGAGAAATCCAATTATCAATACATTTACTACTGAAAGTTTCCTGGTAAAAATTATAGTATTCAATAATGTAGTAATTAGGTTAAGAGAAAGTGCTAGTGAAAGACAAAAGAAACAAAACGTTAAAGAAATTTGACTATTTCGAATGTCAAAAGAAGAAAACTTATATCGTCTCAACTTTAAAAATGTCAAAAGCATATCAGGAAAAAACCTCTGACATGTGTTTAAGAACACAGAGTAGGGATCAACAGCATTTGGAAGACCTGAAAATAAATAGTCCAATAGCATAATGATGGCAAGGAGGAACAAAAGGGAATGCATATTTTTCAAAAGGCAGTAGGGTGTTCTCTAATGTGAGGACATAAAACAAAGACAAATGTAAAAAGAAAGTTCATGAGCTTGTACACATAGAATTAATTTGATCCTCGAATAAACTGAAATCTGTAAAAATAACAAAAGGGGCTTTTAAGAGCCATACATTGATCATGAAGAATGAGAAAGAGCAGGTCCAATGCTTGGGACAGATGATGTAACATTAGCAGATTTTAGGGAAAAAGTAGGATTATTGTTCAATAGCTATCATTTTTATCTTGTCCATAAAACTATAATAGGAAAACAACCTTATTAAGACAAAATTGAAAACTAAGACAGGTAAGATAACTGCATTAAAGCAGTTTAAAGTCTCAAGGCTCTGAATAACTACATCTAAGGGTACTGAAAGAACCGTAAGATGTAGGCAAAAATCAGTCAGCAATACTTGAGAATGGAAATGAAAAACTGTAGAAGTATCAGAGTAAAGTGAAAGGTAAATTGTAGTATTTCTAAAAAGGAGAAAAACAGACGGGTAAAATTATTAACAGTTTCCAACAAAATTCTCTAAGTCTTTAGAATATAGAGTTTTGAGCCAATAAGAAAATAAAATGCATTGTACGAGCTGGTGCTACTTTATCACTATTAGAAATCAAATTTTAAAAATTTATTATAAACTATTTCACTTTCTTTTTGAACAAGCTTACTAGACTAGTAAATTAGAAGACTGGAACACATAGACCTTCTATATCTTTACTTGAGCAAAGTATGTGACAGTCTATTTATTCTTGCAGCCAAGACAGATAAATATATGCTGAATCAAAATAAAATTAGGAGAGAAAAAAGTCATTTCAACAAATGGTGCTGGAACAACTAGACATCTACATGCAGAAGAATGAGCTGAAGCCCTATTTCATAACATATACAAAAATTAACCCAAGACGAAGACCGACATCTAAGAGTTAAAAATTACAAAGCTCTTAGAAGAAAACATAGAGATAAATCTTCATTACCTTGAATTTGCCAATTAATTCTTAAATACGATACTGAAGGCAGAAATAACAAAAGAAAAAACAGACTTCATCAAAATTAAAAACTTTGTGCAAAAGGATACTATGAAGAAACTGAAAGACAACCTAACAGAATGGGAGAAAATATTTGCAAATCACTTATTTGATAAAGGCCTACTACCCAGAATATGTAAGGAAGCCTTACAACAATAACAAAAAGACAAACAACTCAGTAGTAAAATGGGCAAGGACTTGAACAGACATTTCTCCAAAGAAGTATACAAACAGAACAAGTATATGGAAAGATTAGTCATTAGGGAAATGCAAATCAAAGCTGCAAAGAGATACCACTTCATATCCTTCACTTACAGGACGGCTATAATTTAAAACAAAAAAAGAAAAATAAGTTTTGGCAAAGATGTGGAGAGACTGAAACCTTCACACCCTGCTAGTATGAATGCTAGTAGGAACATAAATTGTTCAACTGCTGTAGAAAACAGTTTGGCAGTTCCTCAAAAAGTTAAATATAGAATTAATGTGTGATCCAATAATTCCACTTGTGTGTGTGTGTGTGTGCTCAAAAGAATCGAAAACAGGTACTCAAATATATGTACACATATGTTCATAGCAGCACTATTCACAACAGCCAAATTGTAGAAACAGTCTGAATGTCCATCAACTGACGAATGTATAAAACGTAGCATATCCATACAATATTATTGTAAATTGGAGTACAATATACAATATGGAACATGTATATAGAATATTTTGCAGCCAAAAGAGGAATGAAGTACTGATGCATGGTACAACATAAATGAACCTTGGAAACATTATGCTAAGTGAAAGAAGGTATGCACCCAAGGCCACAATGTTGTACGATTTCATTTATATGAAGCATCCAGAATAGGTAAATCCTTACAGATAGAAAGCAGATCAGCAGCTGCCAGGGGTTAGGGGAAGAAAGAACGTGGAATGACTGCTTAACAGATACTGTGTTTCCTTTTGGGATGCTGAAAATACTGGAACTAAATAGAGATGATGGTTACACAATATTGAGGATGTACTAGAAGCCACTGAACTGTCCACTTTAAAATGGTTAATTTTATGTTATAAACAAATGAAATCAGGCAGATTTATACATGAATATGATATAGTACATTCTCACAAGCTCAATCTCCATTGCAGTTTGAGAATCACCAAGGTACCAGCACTCTAGGACTCTAATTTCTGCTGAGATATTTGATATTGGTAGAAAATTAACACTGACAGAATTAAATCCCCAAGGGTAAGAAATAGCAAATATGCTTCTATTCTACTACCTTTGTAAAAGGACTAGAAAGAACAAAAGTTGCATGATATGCAATTACACAAAGTGCTCATGTTTAGAATCACAGGAGATGAAGACAGTATGTCTTACTTTACATAATTCAAAAATCCTATTTCAAAGATTAAGCAGTTTTTAAGAAATTAATTATTTACGTAAATTACGTATTCCATGCTTATAAATAATACTGAGCTACAATAAAAATCTGGCTTAAAACTTACCGTAACTGATTAGAGAAGTCATCCTCTACATTGTCATCATCCCAATTATCCTCCCAGACATGTGCATCTTCATCTTCATCTAGGCCAGCCCAGTCTAAAAATAGAAACAGATGCTGTCTAAATATTTCTCACACATTTCCACAATTAAAAAAACTTTGAAAAGCTTGCTTATGAACACTCACAATTCAAAAACAGCTAGTATCATATCCATGAAAAATGGTATATTCCTTAAATCTTAGTTTATGCTGTCTAGTTCTCTCAATTCTTGAGTTTGCAGATAATCTAAAACAGAAGTTAATACAAAAAATTCTACTTGCAATGAAAACTTGTAATTTCAGGAGGATATTTACTTTGCTGATTTGTCTTTGAACGCATTTTTAGAAGGTCCACTTCACAATCTTTCAAAACACAACACCAACAACCCTAAAGCAAGTTGAGTGGCAGGAAGATACCAGTGTGGAATTGAAAACTGCAAAACACAAGGGTAACTCATACACAAATATTTAAAAGTAGACCCAACCATAAGCCACCACTAGCATCTAATATAGTTGATACAACATTTAGATTTTCAAAGGAAGAACAAACATAAATATGGATAGAGAAGAATATTGTAGTTTTTGGTTTTCTAAATTTTCTTCCTCCCTTTGGTAGTGGTAGAGGGGTGGTTTAGATTGAGATTTAAGCTTTTGTTTAGAATAGTGAGAAAGTACATAAGTATTACCATTATTCTCTAACTTCAAATCTCAAGCTCTAAATATGCTATGTGGGTTAACCCTGGAAATAGAAATTATCTGTTTTATAGTTATTTTAAGGAGTCTTTACAAAGATATCCAATGGAGTATAATGCTACAAAAAATAAGTTAAATAAACACTAGATACTGTGTTCTTGAGTAAAGGGGGTGATATAACTCAAAAATCACAATGGAACTATTTCAAGGTTCTAAGACAACAAGCTTCTTCTCAGCCTGAACCACTTCCAACTAACCAGCATCCTAAACTGTTAAGTGCCATTTCCATTGGCACTAGTCCCTAAAAAGGAAATGATCACGTGACAAACGATTCAAGCCAGAAATATAAAATAATATTTTGACACTTTTCTGCTAACCTTGTAAGTCTTTGAAAAATAGTGTAGAGCCTTATCTTTTAAAGCAACTATCTTTTAAGAAACAAATTTTTTCCCTCTAATTATGATTTGATTCAAAGTGTTGATTTCAATAGTTATTAAGTGATCTCCTCGAGTTGACTTTACTTCTTTTAACGTAGAGAGGGGAAAAATATTTATTAAGAATGGTGCAATGTTTTTTAGTTTTCATGTTAAACTCTGATGATCATTTAGCACAAGGATAAAGCATCTCTGCCTCCTCTAACAACCATCTCATGCTATTTTAATGGCAGAGAAAGGAAAGGAATAAAAACCCAGGAAAAAGGAACTGGCTCACGAAGAGGGGGAAAAAAAGAGTACTGTGGGCAACATTTTAGGCAGAACATATATAAAAAGATTCATGACAATAGCTCTATATTTCTTTGGTATTACTATATACTAATACTAAATAACATATATAAAAAGATTCATGACAATAGCTCTATATTTCTTACTACATAATTATGACACTACTAAGTAAACAAAGATGAAAGAGTTGCCAAATTCTTCGTTAATCATCTGATAAATCTGGATAAATTCTGTAGCCTTCATACCATTATCCTAAGCAGTAAGAAGCACTGATGTCTATGTAATAGCACACCATCCTTCCAGTCATCATAGATGAGGAATCTGAGAAATAACCTCTTTTCTATTACAACTTATTAAGCAATTAAAAATTAACAAGCACTAGTAAGAAAAATAGTGCTAACACTGACAAACCAGAATCTATAATGTTTTAGATGGAGATTTCTAAAGTTTATTAACTAGGATTATGTACTTAACTATATTACGTTAAAAGCTTATGTAATAGGGTATAACGCCCAAAACAGTATTTATAGCACTTACAAATTCTCTATACTATACAAAAATGTTACAATATATGTAAGTTACAATACATATAAAACTTTACTCAGTCAATGTGTAACATGAAAAAGCCATAACTGGATTTAGTTGACATCTTCTTGGATCTCTGAATTGTGTTTTAGTTTTCAGTTATAACACTACACTGATCACCATGCAATTTTAATCACTCAGTTTTAAAGCGTTAACTTCAGAAATAGTTTTTTTTTTAAAGGACAAAATAAAACCAATGATACCTCTGATACCTGATACCTGACATGATACCTCATGTCTAATGCTATCCTTCAATATGTAGATGGCCTTATAAAGCATACACTTTACCTAAAACACTAAATGCATTGCCACAACTGTGATTATTCATGTAAATAATCACAGCTGTATTTACTTCAAAGTGTATGCCTCCAGATGTGTACTGGTTTAAAAAAAAAAACCCTACATTTTAAAAAGTCAGAATTGGAAATAACCAATAACAGGTGCCTAATATGTAAGCTTCTAGCAATTCTAAATTATTTTATACTTTGTCCCAAATTTGGCTTTCTTCATATTGGCTAGTTGAGATGTGACTAGTTTGAAATTTCAAAAATCTGAGTTACCCAAGATTTCATACATACTTTATCTAAGTATCACCTTGACATTTAAGTACAAAAAGAATTTTCTCTCAACTTAGAAAATTATTTTACTACTTAATTTCCCCTACCCTTTACCATACATTTTCAGTTTTCTGAAAGGCATGAAATACAGCATTTTTAAGAAAAGTAAAAAGGAAATTCCACTCATACTAAAGAGGGTTGCAAATTTTCTATTCTACACCAATTTTCAAGAGCACCAAATTCTTATTCCATAACAATAAAGGTATTCTGAATATAAACAACCCAATCTCCAACCAAGTTTCTTCAAATATAAAATATTCAAGTATATACAGAACATTACATGAAAAGAAAAATACTAAATTTAACATTCACCATCATAGGTGTGTGTAAAAGAGAAAAGCAACAGTTACAAACAGCATCATTATACTCATGAGTATGATAATGAAGCCACACCATATCTAGTGATTCTAAGATAATTCACATGTGTTCCTGTTCAGGGTGTAGGAAACAAATTTTTTTTTTCAAAATTTCATTTCTGTAGGACATCATGATGCAAACACACCTATACCCTGCAGATAGATGTTCTAGTCAGTGACTAAGAAATCAATACCTAGCACTGCACTACTTTATTTTGTCTAACAAAGACCAAAACTGTTCGTAGATAATTTCAAACAAAAATCATGTCATAAACAATGTTTTTATTACTGGGCTATTGGTGAGGTTTCAGTTATTTGTGTCAAAGAGTCTGAAACAAAGGCTCAAAATAACTTCATAATCATTCATAACTATACTTAAATTTTTCAAAAAGGAAATCCAAACCCAATTATCTTCACCAACAATTTAAAAAAATGTAAGTCTAGCAGAATGGTTCCCTTTTGTTGGTTCCCTTCGTTGATTTTTTATTTTTTAATATTTTAAGTTCTGGGATACATGTACAGAACATGTAGGTTACATAGGTATACATGTACCATGGTGATTTCCTGCATCCATCAGCCTGTCATCTAGGTTTTAAACCCCGCATGCATTAGGTATTTCTCCTAATGCTATCCCTCCACTTCCCCCCACTCCCCAACAGACTCCAGTGTGTGATGTTCCCCTCCCTGTGTCCATGTGTTCTCACTGTTCAACTCCCACTTATCAGAACAAGCAGTGTTTGATTTTCTGTTCCTGTGTTTAGTTTGCTGAGAATAATGGTTTCCAGCTTCATCATGTCCCTGCAAAGGACACGAACACATTACTTTTTATGGCTGCATATACGGTATTCCGTGGTGTTTTTGGGCCACATTTTCTTTATTCAGTCTGTCATTGATGTGAATTTGGGCTGGTTCCAAGTCTTTGCTATTGTAAACAGTGCTGCAATAAACATACATGTGCATGTGTTTTTACAGCAGAATGATTTATAATCCTTTGGGCATATATCCAGTAATAGGACTACTGGGACAAATGGTATTTCTGGTTCTAGATCCTCGAGGAATCGCCACACTGTCTTCCACAATGGTTAAAGTAATTTACACTCCCACCAATAGTATAAAACCGTTCCAATTTCTCCACATCCCCTCCAACATAAATTTTTTAAAATTTATTTTTTCTTTGGCCTCCTGAACCTGGAAGATTTATGATTTTATTTTTAATTCCATAAAATTCACAAAAGCCATTACTCTCATCTTTTCCAAGCCCTCATGCCCTAGATTCATCTCATCTTGGTTCCCTCATTCTGATCTACCCTTCACATTACTGAGTCAAGGGTATCCAATCTCAACTCCACCATGCATATTCTTAGACACACAAGGGCAAAATCACAACCCCAGATTTCTTCTTTTTCTTAACACCCCATATCAAACTAGCTGCTAATGCTTCATCACTTCTGCCTCCCTTACTACTGTGGCAGCATTCTCTTTACTTCGTTCCTAATAATACTTTATTTCAAGCCCTTAGTCCTCACCTGAGTTATTTCGACAATTTCCTAATTATCCTCCCTGATTCTAGTCTTTCTATCTTTCAAATTAATTCTGCTGGATTAATGTTTCAGCCTATTGCCTAAAGGAAACTTACACAGATCACTGTCATGAGCAAAACAAACAAAACATTTTAAAAACCACTTCTCATCTACTTAAGGATTAAGTCCAAACTGGTCAGCAGCTTAAAGTTTTCCTTGCTTAGGCCTCAAACTACCTGCATTTGCAACTACTATGTCACAAGCAAGTACAATATACATGCACACTTATTTTTCACATCAAAAGCATCTACATCTTTTCCCTTCTTTTGAAAAACCCTTTCCTCATTTCTTTTGAAAGCCCCATTCAAATGTTACTACCTCACATTGTACATAACTGGAAGTAATGTTTCTTTTGAACTGCGGTTGTACTTTACTATCAGTTAAAGGAAACCAAATTACATCTTACCCAGAAGCCCAACAGGTAAGAGAAACAAAAGCAATGTTGCTCTGGTTTAATTAGGGGTAGGGAAAAAACGGCTTGGAAGCCCACCTCAGGATAAAGCACT